GGGATCAGTTTGTCCGTTGCCTTGCTGACTAGCCCCTGAAAGAGAAGAACATCCAGAAATCAGATGCTGGAACATCTCTCCAATATCTTGCCAAGTGTGAGAACATCATAAAGGATTAAAAAAATTAAAAATAAACAGAAGGCTTAGTGGCACCTTAAAGACTAACAACATTTTGTTCTAAGATTAGCTTTTGTGGACTAGGATTAGGGTTGCCAGCTCTGGGTTGGGAAACACCTGGAGATTTCGGGGATGGAGCCTGAGGAGAGTGGGGTTTGGGGAGGGGAGGGACCTAGGAATGCAAGCTTCCATGTGGGACCTGGGGGTCCCCCGGAATTACATCTCATCTCCAGACTACAGAGATCAGTTCCCCAGGAGAAAATGGATGCTTTGGAGGGGGGACTCTGTGGCATTGTACCCCACTGAGGTCCCTGTCCTCCCCAGGCTTCACCCCCAAATATCTAGGAGTTTCCCAGCCTGGATCTGGCAATTTTACCCCCCCATCCCCCACCGGTGGCCAGGGGAACTTGGCAACTAGGGCTGCCAAGTGGGGGCGGGTGGCGGGTAAACCCCCGCTTTGGAGGCCCGATTTCCGACGCCGCGAAATCGGGCCCCGGGGGAAACCCCACCCCTGCGTGCGCATCACCAGGAAGTGACGTGGGCACGCCGGCATGCTGGGGGCGGGGCCACGGCCATACAAGGGAAAACTCTATGGTTTCCCCTTGTATGGCCATGGCCCCGCCCCCAGCATGCCTGGCATGCCCACGTGACTTCCAAGTGATGTGCGTGAGGTGCGCGCACGCGTGCACCAGACGCCAGCCGGGAGCCCCCCGCTCCCAGCGAAGATACACTTGGCAACCCTAGAGGGACCTCACTAAGCTATAATGCCAATACAGTCCATTATCCAAAGCAGCCGTTTTCTCCAGGGGAACTAATCTTGGTTGTCTGGTGATAAATTTTAATAGCAGGAGATCTCCAGGTTCCATCTGAAGATTTGCAACCCTAGCTAGGACCCAATATTTCAGATGCAATGAGTGGCCCCTCACTAGGCAGGCCTATCATGTAGGGACTATATAAAAAAAGAAACAGTAGGATAAAGGGGCCTTGAAATTGCAGGAAGTACAGAGTGAAATGTAATTCTGTTACATAGAATATAGGTCTCTGGATAGTGAGACACAGCCAAGTTTCATTTTCTATTTCTGTGGAGTAGTGTGAATGGAGTATCAGCCACTTCTCCCCCCCTCCCCCCCGAGACCAAGCCTGAAAAGGCCTATTTCGTATGATGCCCCATTTGCACCAATGTGCCCAGTGCAGGGCATGTTGCGGGGGGGGGGGTGCTCTAGCATTTGAGATTTTATTGTATATTGTTGGAAGCCACCCTGAGCCCTGCTTCGTGGGGAAAGGAGCAGCATATAAGTTGAATTAACAACCACCACCACCAACACCCACATCATACAGAAAGAGAAACATAACAATTAAAACTTTAGACAGGTGAAATGCCAAACGAAACTAAAAAGTCTTCACTCACTGGTGGAAAATGGCAACAAAAGGGGACAGATGAGTCTCCTTCGGGAGAGAATTCCAGAGTTTCAGTACCATGACCAAGAAGGCCCTACCTCTCAGGGTTTTTGTAATAAAATGAAGGGAAGGAGAATGAGAGGAGCCACTTTAGGTTCCCCATTGGGGAGAAAGGCAAGGTATAATTGAATGGAATAAAACAAGAAAATAAGAGAAGAAACCCTTCCGAGACAGGGGTGAGAGAAGAACCCTTCCTGACCTTCCTG